TCATCCCAAATGGTATGTCCCCAATTGGTATCGAAACGGTTTCCAATTGGTAATTTCCCAATTGGTCTGAAATGGTGCTTTCCATTTGATCCCAAATGGTATGTCCCCAATTGGTATCGAGATGTTTCCAATTGGTAACTTCCCAATTGGTCTGAAATGGTGCTTTCCATTTGATACCAATTGGTTCCAAATGGAATAAAACCATTTCATCCCAAATGGTGTGTCCCATTTGATCCTAATTGGTATCTAATGGTTTTTCCCATTTGATCTCAAATGGTTTTTCCCATTTGATCTCAAATGGTTTTTCCCGTTTGATCCCAATTGGTGTCCAATTGGTCTCCAAATGGAAGAAAACCATTTCATCCACTGGCGGATCCAGGGGGGGGCATTAGGGGCATATGCCCCCCCCCGACAGGAGCCTGGGGAGGGCATTCAGTACAAGTATGCCCCCCCCGTTCAGACTTACACTTCTTACGCCTATAACGAGGAACTAAATAAAAATGGTTTAGAAAGCCTTCCTAGTAACTACTTTTGTGATCAGAGTCGTTTTAGTCAGCGGCGCGAGAACTTCTTCCAGACTGGGGGGGCTGAACCATAATAGAGATCAACCTAGGGTACCCCCAAATCTAGTTTTCTCACCGGTTTTAGGCCACTTATTTTTCAGACTTTGGTCTTTTCAACAACAACAAAAAAAAAAACAACGAAAAATGCAAAAAGTGAGGCATTCCGTCTCAGCTGAGTGAAGAAACTACCGTTTTGGCAGCCTGGAGTAAAGGTTTTAATCTGTCAAATGAGTTGCCGAGCCAGTGAAAGAGGTGGATTTTTCACTTACATGCTTTCTTCCTATGTGACCCACAACCCCTAATTTGGGAAGGACAAGCTGCCCAACGGTTCCTGGCCTCATGAAAAGTTGTGTGGACCGCCCCCACGGCCGCAGAATTGTGGGGGCAAGCTTCCCCCACTGCCCCCTCCCCCGGTTCCCGCGCCTATGTATGAATCTATGAAATTGTGTTGGTAGATTTCCGATTTCGATTCCTCCAGCTGGAGGGGGGGGGGGGGGGGCTCAAATACATTACGAGCCCCCCCAGCTTTTCGGCTGGGGGGCTCAGCCCCCGCTAGCCCCCCCCCCCCCTCCCGGTTCCCGCGCCACTGGTTTTAGTAACGTCAATTTAGTTGTCATTGCTTTATTTTGTCTAAAAATATGCTGCTTCTTAGTTCTAACCACAGGGGAGTCATGCCGCTTCAACCCTTCTGACCGTATTGTCTAACGATGGTGTTGTGCGTGGATCGGTAAAAGGTTTAACACAATTTAGGTTATATTTACTTTACACACACATCACATAAAAACGAGCGAAACGAATAAAATAGCCGAACGCTGACACCGCGCCGCGAGCCAGTGCCGAGAGAGTCTCGAGGCGGCGCGACCTTCAGAAACGTAAACAATCAGCTGTCGTAGGGAAAGCGCAACCAAATTGCAGGCACTACATGCTTCCCCCCCAGAGCGGTGACGAGAAACACGAATCGGAACCGGTCGACAAAAAAAGGAGAACCTGCACGACACAACACAACGAAAAAACGTCACTGTCCGACAAACGTCACACGGTAGCGAGCGGGTCGTTGGACCTCCCGTCCAGATCGAGTCTTCAAAATCGAACGCGGCGCCGGCACAGAGCTGGGCGCCGACGGCGGTCGGGGGGCACGCGCCGGGGGTCGCGCCGGCACGCGCGACGGCGGCTGACCCTCGGGCGGCGCGGCAGGAGTCACGGGCGGCACAGGCGGCACGGAGGGCAGGGTAGGCGTCACGGGCGGCGCGGTAGGCGGCACAGGCAGCGCGGTAGACGGCACGGGCGTCCCGGTAGGCGTCACAGGCGGCGGCCGACCAGCAGACGGGTCGCGCACCGGCATCAGCGGACGCGGACCGAGGAGCGGCTGCGCGGGCGCGGGCCGGCCAGGAGTCACTCCAGTAGACAGGGAGCGTGGCCGGCGCTGCTCGCTGTGACAGTCTCTATCCGCTGGGTCGAGGTGAGCCGGTTTGACACGGTCGACCGAGACTACGTCCTGGCGGCGGCCGAGGTCGAGCGTCAGCGTCTTGTCCGAGCGAGCGACGACTCGGAACGGGCCGTCGTAGCGGCAGGCGAGAGGCGGCTTCGTGGCGTCACGGCGCAGGAACACGTGTGTGGCGTCCTGAAGAGCGCGCGGGACGCGAGCCGCTGAGCTGCCCGGACGCGGCGGCGTGGGCCGCAGCTGGTCCAGCGCCCGGCGGAGGCCGTCCGCGTAGGAGTCCGGCGTCGGAGCGGCAGTGGCGGAGCGCTCCAGGAACTGGCCGGGCAGGCGCAGCGTGGTGCCGTAAACCAGCTGGGCCGCTGAGCACCCGAGGTCCGTCTTCAGCGCCGTGCGCATGCCAAGGAGGACGAGCGGCAGCGCGTCGGACCAGGTGGTGCGGCCGCAGGCACGGAGCGCCGACTTGAGCTGTCGGTGAACGCGCTCGATCAGGCCGTTACACGCCGGGTGATAGCTGGTGGTGCGGCGGCGCTCACAGCCGAGCAGCGCTGACATTTCGGCCCACAGTGCCGACTCGAATTGCGAGCCGCGGTCGGTGGTGACGTGGTCAGGCACGCCGAACCGGGCCACCCAGGTGCTGACGAAGGCGCGGGCGACAGCTGCCGCGCGCGTGTCGCGCAGCGGGACCACCTCTACCCAGCGGGTGTAGCGGTCCACGCACGTCAGCAGGTGCGTGTAGCCGTCGGACGGCGGCAGCGGCCCCACCAGGTCGATGTGCACCGCGCTGAATCGCTCGTCCGGCGGTCGGAACGGGGTCACAGGAGCCTTGGTGTGCTGCTGAACCTTGGCTCGCTGACAGCGGACGCAGGAGCGGGTCCATGTGTGCAGGTCCTTCTTCATCTGCGGCCAGACGAAGCGAGCCGTGACCAGCTCGGTGGTGGCTTTGATGCCCGGGTGGGACAGGTCGTGCATCAGTCGGAACACGTGCCGGCGGAGGGCAGTGGGCACCCACGGCCGGGGCATGCCGGTGGAGTCGTCCACGAGCAGCGTCTTTCCAGAGGCGAGCTTGGCGTCTCGGAGGCGGAGCGAGTGGTTAGAGGACCGGAACGTGTCCAACGTCGGGTCCTCTCGCTGCGCGTCTGCCATGGCGTCGAAGTCGTCCAGCGGCGGCTGGGGGACGAGCAGCATGGAGACGGTGCGGGAGAGTGCGTCCGCGACCAGATTGTCCCGTCCGGGGACGTGACGGATGTCCGTGGAGAACTGGGCCACGTAGTCCAGCTGTCGCATCTCACGAGGCGAGTGCCGGTCAGTGCTGGAGCCGACAGCGTGGACCAGGGGCTTGTGGTCAGTGTAGATGATCAGCTCGCGGCCCTCCACTGCGTAGCGGAAGTGGCGCAGAGCGAGATACACTGCCAGCAGTTCCCGTCCGAACGTGCTGTAGCGGGCCTCACGCGGCGTCAGAGACCGGGAGAAGAACGCCAGAGGCTGCCACGTGCCGTCATGGTGCTGCTGTAGCACCGCGCCGACCCCGCTGTCCGATGCGTCCACGTGCAGCGCCAGCGGCGCGGCCGGGACCGGGTGAGCCAGCTGCGCAGCAGCGGCGAGCGCGCCCTTAACGCGTGCGAACGCGTCCTCAGCAGAGTCCGTCCATGTCAGCAGTTTCTTGCTCTTGGAGTCTGGCTGCTTGGTCAGCAGCTGGTGGAGCGGACGGAGCAGAGCTGCGGCATCTGGCACGAAGCGGTGGTAGTATGCCGCCATTCCGATGAACCTGCGCAGCTGCTTCTCGGTGGTAGGCCGCGGGAACTCGGTGATGGCGTCCACGCGGTCCTGTAGCGGCGCGATTCCACTCGCTGACACGTCATGGCCGAGGAACCGGACCCTGGGGGCTCCCAGGACGCACTTCTGCGCGTTCAGGACCACGCCATAGTCACTGAGGCGCTGGAAGACCTGGCGGAGGTGCGCGCGGTGCTCCGAGAGAGTGGCGCTGGCCACCAGGATGTCGTCGATGTAGACGAAGCAGAAGGGCAGGCCGCGCGTGACCTCGTCCATGAAGCGTTGACAGGTCTGCGCCGCGTTACGGAGACCGAACGGCATCGACACCGCCTCGAACAGGCCGAAGGGGGTCGAGATAGCCGTCTTGTGAACGTCAGCAGGCTCCACCGGGATTTGATGAAACGCCCGTGCCAGGTCCAGCTTGGAGAAGTAGCAGCAGCCGTGGAGGTGCGCCGTGAAGTCCATTAGGTACGGAATCGGATACCTGTCCGGGACCGTCGCTTTGTTGAGCGCACGGTAGTCGCCGCATGCTCGCCACTCGCCCGGTGATGACTTTTGGACGAGGTGCAGAGGCGAGGCCCAGTTGCTGTCCGACGGTCGGACGACGCCAGCAGCTAGCATGCGGTCGAATTCCTGGCGGGCTGCGGCGAGACGGTCGGGAGCAAGGCGACGAGGGCGGTTGAAGCAGGGCGGACCCGTGGTCCGGATGTGATGAGTCACGTGGTGAGTGACGGTGCGCACGCCAGGTGAGCGGCTGGTCACGGCCGGGAATTCGGCCCACAGCTCGCCGAACGGGTCGTCGGAGAGGCCCAGCACGCCCGGCGGGGCGGCGGGCGACGCAGCCGTGGTCAGAACGCCGGTGGCGCACGTCTCGCCGGTGGGAGAGCGCAGGACACGCCGTCCCATGTCGACGGAGAGCCGGTAGTGTCCGAGAAAGTCGGCTCCGAGTATCGGTGACGTGACGTCAGCCACCAGGAAGCGCCACTGGTAGGGCCGGCCGGAGAGCACCACTGCGTGGTCGGCGTACCCGTGCGTGCGGATGGTGCTGCCGTTGGCGGCGGTCAGGCGGGGCGCGGCGGCCGCGTCCAAGCTGCAGGCCGGCGGGAGCTGGCTCGGAGGCAGGACACTGATCTGAGCTCCAGTGTCCACCATCATGGTGAGCTGGCCGGTCGTCACGTGCAGGAGCGGCGCCGGCGATGCCCGGCCCGGGGACGGCGCCGATGTCCCTAGGCCGTCTCGTTTAACGGCGACCAGGAGCACGGCTCGGCGCATTTCCTGGCCGCTGCACCGAAGCGGCGGTGGAAGAAGCACAGCTGCTTCTGTTGCTGTTGCTGTGGCTGTTGCAGCTGCTGCGGCTGCTGCCGTCGACCGCGAGAGCGGGACCGGCGGCGGTACCGGTCAGAGACTGCGCCTCCGTCACGGTCCCGGGAGGCGGCGCGGGAGCGGTCGCCGAGCGCCATCTCCAGTCGCTGAACCGCAGCCGTCAGCGCTGCCACCGTGCTGTGCAGAGTTGGCACATCGCCAGCAGTAGCGCAGGCCGTCGGGTCGGCGAGCTGCACGGCCGCGAGCTCGTGAGGGCCGGTCGCCTCCACGTATCGGTCGGCCGCGGCGGCCAGCTGGCTCAGCGTGGTGTCCTCCGGGAGGAGCGACAGGGCAGCCGTGGCCGCCCGCGGCAGGCGCTGCAGAAACAGCGTTCTAAGTAGCGCGCTGTCCTGCGCCTCCTCTCCCAGCTCCGAACGCATGCGCAGGAGCAGCTGCGTCGGTTTCTGGTCCCCGAGCTGGGTGTTGCGCAGCAGGGCGGACAGGCGTGCGGCCCGGGACTGCGCCAGCCGGGCCTGCAGGGCGCTCGTCAGCGCCGTGTAGTCCGCCGGGGTGGCGGTGATGACGTCACGGACCTGCCGAGCGACGTCAGTCGGCAGGTTGGCGACTAGCAGGTCGAATTTGACGCTGCTGTCGGCGATACCGGCCACCCGGCAGGCACACTCCACCTGGGCCAGCCACAGGGCGGGGTCCTCGGCCGAGAATGGAGGCAGTCGGAACGCTGCGTGAGCCCGTGGGGCGGCAGCGGTCTCAGCGGGTGCGGGTGACGGCGGCGGCGGCGGCTGATCGGGCGACTCGGCCATGGCGACTGGTTGAAGTTGTAGTGAAGTTCGCTCTCACTAGGTGGCGCCACCAGTATCCGGTGCAGGACGGCGATGGCGGCGGCCGATGGACACGCCACGTGCTGTCGGTGTATGAGAAAAAAAATTCGTCGGCGCGGCGATCGGGCACCTGACGATTACGTTGACACAGCACAGTCACAAAAATGTCAGTAGAGTTATCACGGTCCAGTTCGGGGGGCAGGCGCTCTGAAACTCCAGCGGGAGGAGCACGCTGCCGGCACGCCGGCGAAACTGGACGAAATTTGCGTTGAAGAACTAGTTGCTTATCTTGTCGGGGTCACCAATATGTTGTGCGTGGATCGGTAAAAGGTTTAACACAATTTAGGTTATATTTACTTTACACACACATCACATAAAAACGAGCGAAACGAATAAAATAGCCGAACGCTGACACCGCGCCGCGAGCCAGTGCCGAGAGAGTCTCGAGGCGGCGCGACCTTCAGAAACGTAAACAATCAGCTGTCGTAGGGAAAGCGCAACCAAATTGCAGGCACTACAATGGCACTCATATTGCGCAAATCATGCAGGAATCGGCCGCCGCCTATGCTTGGGAATGGGGATGGTTAGAATATGATTTACCTGTATGGCCGCAGCCAGTGCAGCGTAACCGGGGGGGGGGAGGGGCACAAGGGGCGCGTGCCGCCTCATTAGATGCATGGTGCCCTATGGGCCCGAGAGGCCCTGCAGTGCCAATTGGCCGCTCAGGGTCCAAGCGTGCCTTATTTCGACTGAGATAAGACCCGCAGGCCTCGTGAGGGCACCTCACAGAGTCACGGGCTCCTGAGTCACATCACACATCACATCACACATCACACATCTCCATAAGGGTCCCACTCCGGCTTCTAAGGGCCCTGTGCTGGCCTCTGAGTGACCTTGCTGACCTATTAAGCGTCAGCTCTAATTAGGGTCCTGGCCCATACCCGCATGGAACGCCTCCACAGTTCCACATCAGTGTCTCTGAGGGCCCATAACGGCGCCTGTGGGGGTCTTACACCGGCGCCTTTGAGGGCCCAACACCGCCAATCTGAGGGACTAACACCAATATTTCTTAAGGCCCTACATCGGCGGCGGCTCTGAGGGCCCCACACTGGCGCCTCTGAAGGTCTTTCACAGGCGCATCTGACGGCTACCTACCTGCACTCTGTGGGCCCCACACTGGTGAGTCTGAGGGCTCCCAGTGACGCCTGAGAGTACCACGCCGGTCTCCAGAATCCCGCAAGGCTCCTGAAACCCTCTGCTGGCCCTTGCTGGTCTCTTGAAGACCCCTTGCCCCCATGCATGTGTCTCTGAGTACTGAGGACTCCCACAACGATGCCTTTGAAAGTCTTCACCGGTGACTGTGAGGGCACCACACAGACGCGTCTGAGGGCCCTACACCGCCACCTCTGAGACACCAGTGTCTCCTGAGGCCCACATCGGCGACTCTCAGGGTCCCACACCGGCGCCTCTGGGGCCCCACACCAGTGCCTCTGGCAGCCAGCCACCGGTAACTCTGTAGGTCCTACACCGGTGACTCTGAGGGCCCCACCGGCGTCTGAGAGTACCATGCCGATCTCTAAGGATTCCACAGGGCTCCTGAAGACACTTGCCGGCCTGTGAAGGCCCATTGTTGGCATCATACGGCCTGTTACCGGCCTCTGAGGGCCCTTTGTCGGTCTCTGAGAGGTCCTACTGCGTTATTAAGCATTCGCATTTCGCACCAACAACTCCAAGGGCCCCACACACAGCCATCTGTGAATGGTGTGGGCTTAGCGCCACACCAGTGTCTGAGGCACCACAACGACGTCCATGTGAGGGCCTCACACCAGCACCTTAGAGGGCCCACACCGGCTCCTTTGTGGTTCCTGCACCAGTGCCTCTGAGGGCCCCACACCACTGCCTCTGGGGAACCCACACCGATACCTCTGATGGTCCCACGCTAGTACCTCTTAAGGTTCCACACCGGCGGCCCTGGGTCGGCTCTATACACCAGTCATTCTGAGGGGCTGAGGGCCCCAACGGCCCCACCAATTTTCGTCGATTTCTGGCGCTGCCCGTGTATTTGTCCCAAAAGCCTCCTCCTCCTCCTGGATCTGCCAGTGGGGGTCAGGTGTCCTACCATTTCTGTTTTTTTTTTTTTAAGAAAAAAAAAACTCGTGTCAGGGCTATGACGAAAAATAAGTGGCCTAAATCCGATGAGAAAACAGGATTTGGGGGTACCCTAGGTTTGGCTCCGTGATCTGGTATGCCCCCCCCGCGCTGAACCCCTGGATCCGCCAGTGATTTCATCCCAAATGGTTTGTCCCATTTCATCCCAATTGGTTTTGAAATGGTTTCCATATGGGAGTCGGGAGATATTCCTATTTGATCTAAATTGTTCAAGTGGTTTCGAAATAGAATTTTATCTCATAATGCGTGTCTTATTTAATCCCAATTGTTATTGAAATGGTTTCCATTTGGAAGATTTATTCCTATTTGATATTAAATGGACAATGGTTTTCCTATTTGATCCCAATTGGTGTCGAAATGGTTCCCAAATGGAAAAGCAAATCTGTTTTGAAATGGTGTCTCCCATTCCATTTCAACTGGTGTCGAAATGAAAAATGCATTTGAAAAGCATTCAAGGGTCGTTTTAGGCAAGAAAAACATACTTATATGGCAATAACTTTTATTTCATGAGATGAATAAAAGCAAAGTCCGAACCGTAGTCGGAGCTGGAGTCAATTTTTGAGTCAGAGTCGGAGTTAGAGTCATAAATCCACCACTTTGCAGCCCTGTTTCCAGATGTGTGACAAGTATGCTTCAAAAGTGTTTCTACCTTGATGATCTCTAATGGTTTCAAGTGTGTTTTGAGTATGGACTGGGTATCTATTAGTTCCCAATTGGTACCCTAATGGTTTCTAAATTCTAATGGTTTTTAAACATATGCTTAAATAATAGACTTAGAGGTAATGGGAAGACCTTTGACTGGTTATACTTGATAAGCATCACTACAAGGCCTTAGTTTTTCATTAAATAAAATTGATTCGCAAAATCCAAGCCGTTTCCGCTCATTTAAACAGCACTACTTTTTCTCTGTGTGCCTACGCTGGCGGCGCCCGACCGTTGGCGCCCGACCGTTGGCGGCTTGGCGCCCGGCCGGCCGCGGCCGGCCGGGCGCCACAGTTCAAATCGGGCGTCGACGTCGGCCGGCCGGCCGGCGCGCCACCGTGTTTCGAGTTCGCTGGGCCTGGGACTGCCCGCGGTCGACCGGGACCCAGTCCTGCTGTAAAAGAGGAAGCTGAGCAGAATCACGCGGCTGGTGAGTGACTTTTCTTGTGCCTCTGTATGCGATATTCGTTTTACGACTGCAAATACTGAAAATAGTTATTTGAATAAATTTGGTTGCATTTTGCATCTTTGTAAGTACCTACTGAGTTTAACAGAGGTGAGAAAGAGGCTTAAAATTAGCGATCACAATTTATTTTGCCAGCAGAAAATTGTCAGTGCCATATTTGTTGTGGTCAGGCTGCCTAAATGACAATGCAAGTTGCATGAGCTTAAAGTTATTATATTGTGATATTTGACAAATGACTCTGTGTGGTAATTAATTTGATCCCATCGCCAAATTAACCCGTGCTGTCCTGCACTGTTGCAGGCACGAACTTGCACCGGACAGACGCCGTCTACCAGTTCTACACGGGTCCAGATGGGCTGCATGCCTTCAGTATGGCTACGTTCTGACTTCTGAAAATTCTGATCGCCACGGAAGATTAAGAAATCTGTCAGAACAGACAGTATCACCGATCGGAATGAAATCTGTCGGCACGTCGTTCATTGTGCCTATTTGTAGGTAATAGCGTACGTATGGCCCAGTGTACCTATAACTACATTGTAATTCTGTTCTTGATTCTGATAGCAGTCGCCTCATCGATGTGGTGTTGACCAAACAACAATGTCCATGTGTAGTTAATGTCTAATGTTGGTAGGTACGTACTGATGAAAATGTATATGCTTGCAGAGTAATACAATAAAAATAATTCACGGTGCAGTTTGTTATTTTGTGGATGAAATGCATGGACTTCAAAAGGATCTTCAAATGGTAATCCAGCTGCCCAGTAAAAAATACCATTAGAAATTTCCAAATGGTTCCAAATGGCAAAAACCATTTGACTTATTGAACACTTTTCCAAATGGTTCCAAAGAGGTTCCATTTCAAATGTGTCCAATTGGCCACCAATTGGTTCCATTTGGAACCATTTCATGACCATTTGAAATGTGTCCAATTGGTACCTATTGGTGACCAATTGGATACATTTCAAATGGTCATGAAATGGTTCCAATTGGTACCAATTGGTGGCCAATTGGACACATTTCAAATGGAACCTCTTTGGAACCATTTGGAAAAGTGTTCAATAAGTCAAATGGTTTTTCCCATTTGGAACCATTTGGTAATTTCTAATGGTATTTTTTACTGGGTATACCCAAAATTAAAACCTCAAGGGATTTCGGCCACAATGTGCCCTATTTTCAGTTTTTTAAATTATTTTCTTTATTTTTGGTTAGTCATGCTCCAGCTCATGTGATGACTGATCAGCCCCTGCTAGGCCGCTGGTGCCCCTGGAAAGACCGTGGTACCTACCCTACCTACCCTGCCCCCTGACAATTGCCTACGGTGGGCCCTGCACATGACTTAGGTGCCCATGGGCCCTGACAGGCCCGTGGTGCCCCTGACAGGTCTGTGGTGTCCTTGCTAGGCCTGTGGTGTCCCTGGGCCTTGGCAGGTCTGTGGTGCCCCTGGCGAGCCTGTGGTGCCCCTGTTAGAACGCAGGTGCCCCTGACAATCCTGAAGTGCCAACGACAGGCTTGTGGTGCCCTTGAAAGGCCCATGGTGCCCTTGCGAAGCCGGTGGTTCCCCTGCGAAGCCGATAGTGCTCCTGGTAGGCCTCTTGGTGCCCCTGGCAGGTCTGTAGTGCCCCTGGAAGACCTGTAGTGCTTCTGCT